CACTATTTTGCAGTTAAATCATCTTGATTCAACCTGTTAATCTGCTGGTCTGAGTTCCTCTGATGGTGCCCTGCAGTTTTGACATCGTAGGGGGTTGCCATGGAGAAGAGGGTGATGTCATTGACACAAAAAGCACCCAACTTACAAATACAACAGGAACCGAGCTATTTATAAGAGCTGCTTCTCTTCCCCCACTCTTTGCTGAGGTGGGTGGAAGCAAAGACAGCAGCTCCATTCTTGATGTTTCTGTCAACAAGTTTCAGAAATGAATTTTCTTGTCAGAAAATATCCCAACTCTGTGAGATTACTGAATGCTGTCAGCTTTCGGACTTCATTCATTAGAGCTTGATTTATGTTTCCCAGCCCCTCACTGGTTTGAGGTTAAATAACATTCATGTTTGTAGAGTAACTTCTGCCCTGAAAATCTCTGCAGCATTACTGAGATACAACCACTTCTGGAAGGAAAGGCATGTCACAAAAAGAGAGGGGACAGAGACCCTGGTTTATGTAAAGGCTTCATACTGCTTATAACCACTCAGTAATAACTCAAAGAATCACAGAGCAGCCTCAGCTGGAAGGGACCCCCAAGGATCCTGTGACTATTGGTTTGGCCTTGACTGTGTGGGGTTTGCACATCAACACAATTCTTACAGAAATAATGTTTAGTGCATGTAAAAATGGCAAAACACAGAGGAGAGAAAAGGGAAGATTAAGAACTTAGAGAGGAACAAAAATAATAATTTTAGAATGCACTTGGAATAAAGCAGTTCAGTTCACATACAGGTAAAGTACTAATCCAGGTTGGCTTAGGGGTAGATGCAGAACAGTCCAGTGCCTTTATTGCATATCAAGGAATATGCAATATTGAGCATACCAATACTGAATTCTGCAATATTCCAACTTTCTTTTTCCCTACAAAATGATTCCTGAGTGAATGATAATATAAAGTATTGCACTACAAAGTACATTACTAGTTTAACTTCAAGGAAATATACAACCCAAGGTACTGAAAAATCAAGAGACTCCAAAGCACTGGGAAAAAAACCCATCAGCTCAGGCCTAGAAACTGAACACTAACATTTGTCTTTTATCAGCATTGTGTCACCCAGCTCCTGATCCTGCTTGGTAAATCACACTTCCACACCAGCTGGAACCATGAGGTCAATAATTAAATAGCTTTGGATCATAGTTATTACAAAAGGAAAGCAGGGAACAAATATTTCTAGAACCAACAAATGAACAACATTGTTCCTCGGTCTTTACTGAATGACCTTGATATTCATGTTGTTTAATAATTTAAACTATTATGGAAATGAAACCTTCATATTTCTAAGCTTCCAAACAGCATCCAGCTTCTGCTGGATTAACTGAGCGAGGGGCAAAAAGTGTGAAATAGTAAGAACCAAAAGAATGAAACTGTTAAAGGAGTTCAGTGTTCCTTATCAAGCTTTAAGGGTGATCTGTACAAACACAGGCACATCCATGTGACTGCAGCACCCATAGCCCGAGGCTAAAGGAAAGACTCCAACCACCAATTCCCAGCCCACAGGCAAATAACTCACTTCAAATAAGAATTCAGCTTTTGTACATCGAGGCATCCTTGGGGAAATCACTGGGGCGCAGCAGGGAGTGCTGCACCTCAGCCCAAATGCATTTTGGAATATTATTTGGGAAAGCAGCAGCAGAACAGAAGAAAGACACAGAATTACTTGCTGATGCTCATGCAGAAGGGTTGATTTGTCTTCTTTAAATAATAGAATCATTAAGGTTGGAAAAGATCTCCAAGAGCCCACCCAGCACCACCAAGGTCACTACTAATCCAGGTCATCCCCAAGTGCCACCTCCATATATTATTTAAATCCTGCCAGGGACACTGACTCAAACCACTTTTTACTAAAGAGTGCCCTAAAGTCCCATAAGAATGGAGATTCTTCTCAGCCCTTTTTGTTGCTCATTTATTTATAGAAGCATTTTTATACTGTCTTTCACAGCAGTACCCAGATTAAGTTTCAGTTGGGCTTTGGCCCTTTTAATTTTGTCCCTGCATAACCTCACAACATCCTTATAGCTCTCCTGAATTGCCTGTCCCTTCTAGTTTACTCTGGAACCCCAAAAATCCTAGTTGATTCTGTGAAATCATTTTATCTGCTAGCACAAGCTCAGGCTTACACTTCTGATAATGTACCAGTTATCAGGTGCATCTTTCTCTTCTGAGGTTTTCTTGATCTTTTTATTGAACACAAACCCCAGGCTGCAAAAGTCTCAGATACAAATATTCTGAGTGCACTTATCTGATAAATTTTAGATTTCCCAATTATTTCAGAGTCAGGATTTCAAATCTACAAATCACATATCTTTGAAGACCAGCAGATGATCAGTACTCCTCACCTTTCCTCAAGCTTCCTTAAAATGGTCACTTCAGATGTTAAGCGAGAAAATAAATCGAGTTTCAGAGATCCCAAGGGATTTGTAAATACTTGCAGGTGTACCTTAAAAAGCAATTAGGTTCTGTAGCATCATTGGCTGCTCCCCTAAGAGCCACTAAGGAGGTAACCTGGACCACCTGTATTTCAGTGTAAGCAATGATCTTGGTGAGCCCTCAGAAAGTGTGTAATCAACTCCAGCTGCAGCCTCCAGAGCTGGAGGAGAAGAAAATGGCTCACACCTCTGAGGTTTGTCCCATCCACAGCTCAAGCACATTAAATGAGCCCCTAATTTTTACCTTTAGCATTTTCGGTTGCTCAGTGATTTCCTGCAAATATTTCTAGACCCCTTTTTGCTTAACAGAGGTGGACATTAATAATTTGATTATTTCAGTTTCTGAATCAAAGCAGCTGAAGCCTGCAGATATCTTCCAGACATCCCTCTTGTATCTCTGGTCAAGTTTTGTTCCCAAGCAACCTGGTACAATCATGACCCCCATCACATTCCTATTTTCCTTTGTGCACTTTTATTTATATAATAGGCATTAAAATTTTCCATAGCCCAGATTCCATCACTCTATTTTTTAATGATAACTTCACTAGGACTTCTACATCTGGCTGTCACACAATTTCATTTTACCCTCTACCTGGTGTGGAACATTTTGTCCTGTCAGGATTTATGAATGCCTCTTTTCCCTCAGAAAATATTAAGACAGTTTTCATCTCCAAATATCCTGCAGGCAAGGCTGGTGTGTCTCCTACTTCATGACCTTGTGGCAATCCCAGCCTGCAAGGTCACAGAGCACCTCTGTGTTACACAATGATGCAAAAAGTGATGCTTGGGAAAAGCTTGTTGAAGGTTAGAGGCAGTTACTTGAACAGACAACAGGGATGTCCCAAGAGCTCCCTCAGTTCCTGTTCCATGTTGGTGCAATCAGCTCATGGCAGAGGGGAGGCAGCAGAGAGGCAGAGTTCGTCAAAGCACAAGAGGGAACAAACATCACAAGAGATGACTGCTGGTTCTTGTTGTACCTGCTTGCTCCTCTTCATTATTTGGGTGAGTTTATTATGGAGAAATTGATAATGCCATGGCTGTTTCTGTTTTTACACTACTGGGGGGCAGTTTTGTGTTGTCAGGGAGGTAGATGAAGAGTAACTGATTGTAGGCAGCCATATTAGACAGAGAAGAATTAGCACACTTTTTGTTTAGAAAGAAAACAGATACCAACAAAAAAGTAACAGTGGAGTATTGCAGCTGTGATTTAGATCTCATTTAAATACAGACAAATAGGTTCACTTACATACTTTAAAGACCTGAAGAACAGATTTCCTCTACTGAACTTCTGCTGAGAGCTCTTATCTCTGCTCAGCCTGGCCTCAAAAGCTTTCTGTGCAAATTAGACACAGTGAAGTTGTTCTGTACTGGCTACAAACACGCCTTGTTTGAGAAGTCCTTGGGATGACTGAAACTTTGTTAGGAGCCTTCTCTTCCTAATCTACCTGGAATTCAGCTCAGTGCTGCAGGATATAAACTGAAAAAGTTGCAAGTGAGAGAACAGCAAGTGAGATTCCCCAGATTTTGTCTAAAAGGCAGTTAAAGGATCAGCAAAAGCAAAAAAATTTCAGTTAAATAAAAGAACAAACATGGCATCCTTTTAGAGCTAGCAGAAGTTAGCTGTGCATTGGATTCCTGAGTGCTCTACCAGTGATCTTGGCTCTAAACTCTGGTTAGAGACAGAGCATTGTTTATCTGCTAGCTCAACACATGACTAATCAATGTACTACAAGAAGCATTAATTAAGGCACTAATGGACCAAAATAAATTCTTCAGCAGCAGTTTACATTCGATATTAAAGCTGGTCTACCAGGGCATTTAGGCCCTATTCCTGAATTAGAATATATAACCCTAACCCTCTCAGAGAAAGTGTAAAAAAAGGCATTAGGAATCCAAGACAGCAAAAAGAAGACAGGCCAAAGTAACAGGAACAGTGATGGAATATGCAGAAACAAAGCAGGAAAGAAGGTGGCTTGAAGCAATGTGGAAAAGACAAAACTGAGTTCCCCCTCAAAATTTGAAGGTAACACAAAGGGGGAGGACCAAATAGAACCATGGCTGGTGAATTCAACAAAATGAAAAAACACAGTCCATTTGGCTTCTTAGGGAGAAGAAATTGCTAATGATGCAGTTGTCTACTCTCACTTTCCTGTGTGGGAGAAGCTGTAAGGAAGTAAATCCCAAGTCTGAGAAGTTTCCCTACACTTCAAGTACATAGTACCACCCTGGGTTTGGATCTGGTAAATTCTGTTGTCTTGAATAAAATGAAGCCTTTGTACTGGTTTCAGTAATGCAGTACATAAAAGGTTAACACATATAACTATCCCCAAAACCTCCCACCAAAGCCTGCCAACACATCACTTAGGGCAAATTGAGATTTCAGGGATGCTCAAATCCAGTCAGGAACTTCAGCCCTTGCAAAAGTAAACAAAACTCTTGCCTTAAGAAGAAAAATGGTTTATGTGTGCAGCTTTTCCACTTCTGGCTTCATCTACTTCTTGTGGCAACTTTCTACAAGAACACATTCCAAGTAGAATCATTCAAGCTGTATTCAGGTGTCCAGGAAATCCCATGTGGTTATGAAAGCTGCCACCAAATGAGAGGCTTTTGCATCCAGCAGCCACAAAATATTCCCAGTCAGGCAGCAGCACTTCTGCATGGATTCTAAATGAAGTCTTTTGAAACCATTTGATAGCAATGTTAAATATGATACTCACTACCAAAACACAACTTTATTGATTAAACACCAATAAAAGACCAACTGAATGCAGGACAAAGACATTTCAAAGAGTGGGGTGCAAGTTAGGTGTTAAATTTTTAAGGAGCTGTACAAGAAGGGGAGGTGGCAGTTAAGACAAAACAATTTTCTCTCACAAACTGCTCCAACACAAAAAGGTTCATGTAGAGGCTCAGGAGGTTTTCCACACACTCATGCAATAGAAACATTCTTGAGCAAGTCCCATGTGAAGTATTGCAGAAATGGCTCCAATCACTCTCATGTTTACATTTGAAAACATAAAAAAGCAACAACAAATTCTTCTCCAGAATACAAAATGTGTTTGTTTTCTATGAAGTCACTGGAAGTTCACCAGGAGGAAAGTTTCTCCCACAGCAACTAAGGTCAACAAAAGTTGTTCTTTGAAAGAGCTGTCAAACATTTCACTGATTTCCTCTCTTAACTCCCTCAGCAGAGGTACTGTGGACTTACCATCTGCATTCAGAATTCTCTCAAAAAGTTTACTCCAGAAATCACTGTCAGGAGTCCTAAAACAAACAGAGCAGCGTTCAGTGGAACAATACACACACACACACATATATACAGTGTGTCTATCAAGGTCTCCATTTATATTCAGCACCAAACATCCTGGGAGAACCATGCCTGAAATAATAATTTCACTCACCTGAGTAAATATAAAGGAAAACTAGGACTGTGTTGCTCATTTTATATGTATGGACCCCATTCTCTTTCTCCAATAGGTTTCTGGATAGTAACTACACAGGTCTAAAGCAAATGTTTATACAGTTACCTCTACTAGCATACCTGACCACTACCATCATTCACACTAAGCCACAGCAGTTTTAGTTTACAGGAATTATCAAGAACATTTTTGAACCAAAAAACTTGGGAAACTCCTTTCATGAATAAAGGGCAGAGGTAAATCTTATTTACCCACTTGCAAGCTAAGTTAACAGGGCACTATTAAAGGAAAGCTGCAAGAAAAAATAAAAGAAAAAAAAAAAAAGAAAAAGATGGTTTAGAGCCAGTTTTGCTTCCTTTGTACCCCGCCTCCATCTGCAAGAGTTCTGTACAGATAATATTTTGGAGACAATTAATAGTAATAAATCCCCTCTCTCCCAGATGTACCCACACAACATGAATAAAAAGGTTAAGTGACTCATTTAAGTTTCAGAAAACTGATATTAGAGCAAACCCTTTGTTCTTCAGTCTTGCACTGCTACTGACTACTGAAGCATTTTTCTCCCTCGAGCTAAGAGTTACAGTGGCTTTGAAACAAATTATCTGCCTCTGCTTTATCTAAGTGACTCACAAAACAGCAGCAGCCAGTCTCAGAATGAATCCAGCCTGTACTGTTTGTGCTATTTCACTGGTAACTCCTATATTTGCTAAAATAATCAATGCAGAACCTAACCAAGAAAACAATATACAAGACTTGAGTCCATTTTCTGTGTGGGATTAGATGAGCAAGAGGTGTGGCACAGGAGATGAAGTGTTGCTAAGGAGGTGTCAAGAGTTCCAAGTGACAAAAATAGTCCTAAAAATTCAAATGCAGCTTCTATATACTGCTCACATAAACCTGCACAGATGACATTTCCTAAAATAGTAGTGAAAAAAGAAAAAAAATCACCTTATCCATTCCTTAATAATGGTAAAAATCCTCCCCTGAAAAACAGGCTGTCAGTATTATACTTGAAGATTAAAAAACCAACTTGATCACAATTTACATTCTACCTTCTCCTAAATCTCTACCACAATGTTTCAATGGGTTCAATTCCTTCTGTCACCTTTTAAGTGGGTTCTCTTTTATTGAAAGCCATTGACCTTGGAAGAAAAATGTTGTGCTCTACTCTGCAATTCCCCATTGCTTTGGTAATTTGCTGAACTGGTAGTAAAATCAGTAGCTCTTGCAGTCATTATGCTATATCTACATTTGTTTAATAAAAATAATTAAGTCCTGTTTAAAAAAGCTTTCTTAAGATAAGAGGGTCATGGTTGTTGTATTTAACCCCAGTCAGCCTTGTAGTAAGAAGCTTTATTCCTAGCTGTCAATACCTGAATTCTCAGAACATTTTTTGAAGAACGTTATTCTGTCAATAAAATCCTTGAAAAAAAATACCTCAAAACAAACCACCAAACAAACTCAAATGAACCTCAAAGAAATAAAAATGTCACTTGGAGTACTTTGTGAACACAAAGGACAGAAGCAATGCCATCTTTACAAAAGCAGAATTACTAAAAGCCACAGGAAGAAGAATCCTGTGTCTTGGGGGGTGTTACAGTGTCACCAGCTTGTGTGGCTGTGTGCACAGGATGAAGAGCAAAACTCATCTCCATCAGCTGACTCTTCTCCCAGGCAATACTCAGCTGTGCAGCCTCTTCTGGTGGATGAAGGCTCCCTGCAGCAGTGAATTTGCTTGTCACAGATTACTTGAAAGCTTCAAACTGACTAGAGCAAATGTCATCAGTCAATAAGAACTAGACAGACTAAAAGATCCATGTGTGAATGGAAATGGATTCAGTGCAAATTCCTTATTCCCACATAATGAAATAGCTCATTTACACTGTTGATATAAGACTTCAGTACAATGTGTAACTAAAGCACTTATGCAGACATTTATTGGAATAACTGATATTGAAAAGTAATGAATGATAAGTCTATAACACTTTCAGAAGCAAAGCAGAAGAGAGGGTGGAAAATGAATTCCTTATTTGGACTCTGAACTCCCAAATTATGAACTGATGCATGCAGGGGAGTGAGAAGCCATTACAGCCTGGTTCCAGCTCCACAGAACTTGTGCCCAGGCTTTATCTTCTTCCTGCAGTGTCCCCTGTAGCCCTTCACAGGTCTCATTCCTCAAGACTCCCTCCAATTCCTACCTCAGCCCAAAATCCTGATTTTTTCAATCCAGCATCCCCAGCTTTGACTACAATTCCTTTCCAATACACTCCTCCCCTTCAAACTCCACTGAGTTTGGACAGACAGCCCTATCCTTCCCAACTCAGACTTGCTATTCCTCTTGCTCCAGTTATCCAGACAGTTACTGCTCTTTTTCCCATACCCACATCCTGATCATGTCCCTGACACCATGTCCCAGCCTCCTCAACTCAGGCTTTATGTGGCAGTAGCTCAATTTAATCTCCTGCAAAATTAAACAAAGGATATCATAGTAGGAAACCAGACATATACCCAGTTAAAAAAAAAAGACATTTTTTCCTCTGTACACAGCTTAAGAAGATTGGATTTTTTCCAAAGGCTGAATACAGCAAACTGGGAGATGTAAGCAGTGCAGGTTGCTAGGGAACTGGACAACTCCCACGCTGTAGTGGGTTTTCTTAAAGCAATGGTCCTAGGAGTGATCCATGATCGTGAATCAGATACCTGTCCAGCAACTGCTGTCATGAGTGCACAGTTCTGGAAAATCCTTGTGAAATGCCAAGGCAAGTAAAGCTGCAGTATGTGCCTAACAAAATAAACAACTGTTCAGTTAAGAACAAACAAAGGGCACAGGGAGGCAGAGCAGACTGATAGTCAAAACATGCAGCTAAAAGTGAGCAGTAGAATTTAATACCTGAGACAAACAGCAGCTTCCAAAAAGCAGCTGTTTGCACACTTGCATCTTAGATGACAGTTTTAAATTATTTTCTTTGCTGCACAAGTGTACTGTTTCTACAGCTGTTACACCCTGCCATCAGTGTCTTAGTAGAATGAAAGAAAAAAGCAGAAAGCCAAATGAATCCATTTCTGAGGCAACATGCTCTTGTGATCTTTGCCCCTCTCACCAACCACCCACTTACAAACTTCTCCAAGCTTGATCTGTAAGGTGCTGACTAAGTCTCATCTGAAAGGATGGAAAAAGCAAAATCATCTCAACCAGATTATTCATATTCAACTTAAAACTGTCTCCTACACAGCACTGAAGCTACCAGTAAACAAGTCCAACAACTTCACAATTTCAGGCCCCACAAAACTAACACTTTTTGGCAAAACCAGCCCCAAGCTGCTGTACATTCCAAGCCCTGAAGATAGTACAGTCTAAGCTCTGAAGATAGTATCACTATAAAGAAAATAAAGTTAGAGGTCTTTTCTTTCCCAGCAGCCCCTTCTGCAAAAGGACTTACTTTGATAAGTCTTGGCTGATTTTCCAGATGGCATTCTCCTGATAGACCTGGATATGATCCCCAAACAACAGCAAATGGACTATATCTGCAATGCCAACCAAGTCTACCTGTAATCACAACAAACAGCACAAAATTCAATGTCTATCACTTCCTGCTCTTACTGCTTTCACACATTTAAGTTGGAAGCATCTTTACACCAGAATCTTCCAGAGATGTGTTAAGCAAGAAAACTTCAAAAGCTAAAATTCTGTTTTCATTGTAGGTTTCTAAATAAATACAGTAGCTACAATCACTGAACAGCACTGCTAATCCTTTCACTTAATGCCAAAGAGTCCATCAGATGCAAAATTCTCTTTATTCAGTATTTATTGATCAGAGCTTTCCACAGCACTTGTAAATTTTAACTTAAGAAAATAGGTTTTGTAAAGGAAACACAGAAATTAAGATGTCCTACTAAATACAGACTCACCTGATAAGGAAGAGAACTTTCTGCCAGAAGCTGCTGTCCATGAGGGGTGTGAGCTGTGGGGAAGTTATAGGGCAAGCTGACTCCAGGCAGTACCCTCAAATCCAGGCTGTGAGAGAAATCCACCACCTTCAGAGCATTTGGCACCTCCTCATAAGAAAAGGCATCGCAGATCCTGAGCAGAAGAAGCACATTAGGCAGAAGACAATCCAACAAACTTTTCCTTTCTTTTAGAATTAAATTGAGCAGCATAGTGAAGGCGAGTCTTAGCCATGTCAATACTCCCCTCTGATGGCTGCTGTCAGAACTACTGCTGCTAGGGCTGCCCTGCATGGCAAGAGCTCACAGCAGGGAGCTTGGGGATGATAGTGCTGTCTCCACAGTAAGCAATAGGAAACAATAAAGAGTTGAGGATGATGCTATTTTTGTATTTGTCACAGTTATCTGAAACAAAGTCTGTGGACTGTGGGAGTAGTGTGATGCCTTTTCAGTGGTCCTGAAATGATGAGCCAGACACAGGTGGTGAAAAGAGGTTATCTTTGCAAGGATCCTTATGGTGCACAACAGCCAGATGAAAAGCGCTGAAGATGCACACATAACAAAGCAAACGCAATTTTTACAAGTCTAGCAAATTAGCATAACTGACAAGAATCTTCAATTAAAGACATAGGTGATGAGGTAATTCCCCCTGGTTCTGCCCATTTCTGAACAACCCCCCTCAGATGGGAACTAAGCTTTGTTTATGAATATGTGTCTTGAAGAGCTGTTTGCAACCTTGCCTCTCAGAGAGCCTAACCTTGGACCCTGGGGCTTGGAGCCACTGGGGAATTTATTTTGTCTTTCTGTCTAATAGAGTAGGTTAAATGCTAGCTATGAATGCAATCATAGGCTACAGAGCTATAAATATACATATGTAAATAATATAGAGAATAGATAAAAGCAAAAATGCAAGAATCAATTTGGAATCAGTGCAATGTTTTACACTTCTCCTTCTCCATCTAAATCTCAAAATACTTGTTACAAAAAATAATTAAGCTTGATAATACTTCTAGAAACTTCTCCTAGTCTACAGGTGAGGAAGGACAAACCAGAAGGGCAGGGAGGAGTCTCTCTATTGACAACTGCCAAGCCAACAACATCTATATATCACAGCTCTCATGAGTAATCTTCTTACATACTTGTATGCTCTGAGCTTATTTTGTAAGTTGTACTATGCACTTGTCCTTTTGCTATCTGAAAAACCCCCAAACCATTACCCTAACTTTTTGGCAGTTGTTTGTTTTGTATTTGCCACACAGAAATACAGCAGGAGGTATCCAAGTCCATCAAGCCACTCTTAGATCAGTGACTTCCACAACAGGATGCAGCACCCTAAGGGATGTGCAAGACAACCCACTGCAGGATGTGAAGAAAATAGTAGAACTTGCACAGTACAGGTATGTACTTTATAAATAATTATGTAAATAAGTTAATAATGAAATAATCACAAAGAAATGATAAGTAAACTATGTTGGGAGTATGTATGTGAGATGACTGTAAGCTCCAAGTAAATTTAAATTTAATAGCTATTTTTAACATATCAATGATAACTAAGAACAGCCCCAGTGAATTTATGTAATGGAATTATATCTGATTCATTAGACATTCTGGCTACTGGCTTCCCACTGATGCCTTAAGTTTTTAGCTTTTATGTATTTTTCATGTATTTGTAGTTCTGTAGACTGTTAAATGACTCAGTGCAACTTTCAGTACTTTTCCAGCTTTCCTTCCCACAATGAGCAGGCACTTATTAACACATTCCTAAAATTTTGTTGTCTTGCTTGTAAGTTCCCCAAGGACACTTAATTTTGTACCACGTAATCACTGGCATAATAAAGGTAGGAGAGGAGGGCAGAACCCAAGGAGATTACAAACCAACTGCTCCTCTAACTGGACAATATTGACCAGATATTCTGATTGCCTGATCTTATCAATTGCAAGGATCTAATCTGGGACACTGGTTTTTGCCATATTATGTACCTAAAGGCACTCAACCTTCACATAAATGTTTGCTTTTATATTATCATTCTAACATGGCCTGGAAAAGTTTGTGCTTTATTTCCAGACATCACCACACTTAGTTCACAGATCACATTCCAAGGGATACGTGACTTTGTTAACATCACATGGGAAAGAGCTTTAAGAAGAAAGTTAGGTGGGTGCATTAAGGTACAAGCTGGACTGCAGAGGAAGCTGAACACTTTGTTTGGAGTATCTGGATATTCCAGTCCCACCTGTTTCTGTCTTCTCATCTCCTGGGTTTCAAGTATGCAAAGACAAGTTACAAACTATATTGTGACTTGCATTAGTGGTCCAAAACCTTAGTAAAGCAGAAACTTAAAACACAGCAAACCATAATAGCAAAACCATTTTGTTGAACATGAGTTTTACAAAGTCAATTATACTATTTCTACAGGAAGGCTTATTCCTAAATTAAGTGTTTTCAGTCCTATCAGAATACACTGGAGCCTAAAAACCTGGACTGCAGAATTAGGCCTGTTTTGCCAGTGGCCAGGTTCAGCACAAGAGGCACAGAAACCAACTTAAGGAATAGTGTAATTTTCTATAATGCAAGAAGTTAAAGAATCACACGAAGGGAAGTTCAGCAATGCACCTCACCATTGCTGCCAAGGATTGCTTACAGCAATGGAGATACAGCACCAGTTACACTCTAAAGATTTCATCACCCCCCAGAGCCACACAGCAGCTGGGGGACCCTGTCACAGCCCAGCACTGGAGATCCCCTCCCAGAACTGGCAATTCCTACAGGTACATCCATCCACAGGCAAAGAGGCTTCCAACTGTGCTGGGACAGGGCCCAGCTTGACCAGGGGGCAATAAACAAACTGACACCACTTCCAGTGCAGGAACATCTGGGGTCAGCCTCCTTGTGGGTTCCTCCCAAAGCCTGGCTAGGGCTCAAGGAGCAACCCTCAGAGTTGCCTTTTCTCCTATATCCCCAAACCCCAGGTGTGGCCTTACCTGGTTTCTAAATACAAGAAAGTGAATACATGTTTTGACAATGAGTGGATACATAGATGATACTACTAATGAGTCTTTGTTAATGAGTATAATATAACATAAATATAACATTTGGTTGGAAGGTCATCTAGAGATCAGCTTTGGCTCAGGGCCTGCTGTTCAGACCTCAGTGCTTCATCTCAAGGGTACAAGTTACAGCAGCACGGGAGCTGTAGCTGAAATGACTGTTCTGTCCCCTCCCATACTGACAGGCAGAGACAAACCTGTCTCCCAGGAAGAACACCTCTGGCCTCAGATCTCCATGGACAATCTCAGCTTTGTGCAGCTTCTCTACCACATGCAGAAGATCATGAACAACCACGAAGATGATTTCCTTTGTGATGAACTTACGGTCACAGAGAATATCCTGAAAAGAGAATAAACATCTTTCTCTGTACCCTTCTACCTTCGATTAGGTGAAATATTTATAGCTCACTTTTTGTTTCATTATTCATTTGTACAGAGGTAACAGTCCCACCATAAATTCACTATAATCAGATTTTGCCCAGACAGAATTACAAGAACTGTAAGCCAGGAAACATTATTATTCAAAATTGGACAAAAGACCAGGAGGAAGAAATTGAAGACTGAAATCACTACTGAATTTCAGTCCTATTTGTATGCAACAATTCAAAATGCACTTACAAGAGTTAAAGTGAGAATCATTCAGCAAGACATTAATTGCTATGACCTTGCTGTAGCTGACTGGAATGTATTGAAAGAGGTTAAATTAAACAACAGCTTTAGATGCAAATCTCGCTGTGGAATAACATGTGGGTTTTGGCTCCAGTCCTTTATGACTCACTAAGACAGAAAATGTGAAAAATTGGTCCAAGATGGTCTCGGAGAAGCACATGATCTATGAATGAGAAACCAGACCCATCTGAGGCATTAACAGACAGCCCTGATTTGTATACAGATGTCGGATCTCAAGATCTCAGTCCTGAGATGCTGAGCCACCGAGACCCTTGGGGGGGCTCGGGAGTCCTGGAATGTTGCCAGAAGTGTCTGGTAGCTGGACTTTAACCCTACACAGGAGACGACAAGGATGAGGGCTTCACCGGGTGAGTGGTGAAGGGATTAGTTAATTAGAGGGTGAGACACAAGGTTTAGGATTTATGTACAGGGGGGTTTA